ACTTCCACAGGGCTTCGCATTCGATTTGGCTCCTTAAGGTTACAGTAACAAATTCAAAATTTGCTGCCAGCCCGACTCGAACCGTTGACCTTGTCTGTAGGGGTTTGGGAGCTTAACCAATAAGCTACAGTGCCCAAAACCCAGTCAATCATTTGCTAAGTTATCATATTCGCAAATTTGCCCAATAATGGTGTTATCCAGCAATTTATGATCATGATTGGTAGGAAGTGGTTGACTAGGTTTTAATTTGAATAAACACGATCACATCATGTCATATGAAAAAAATAACGTGCAGAAATTTATTTATGATCATAAGAGTTTGCCAGATAAATATATATATATACAACTTAAATTTTTAAACTCTTTCTAACAATCCTCTGAATAACAACAACAACAAAAAACTGAACTACAAAAAAATAATATAGAAACATTCAAGACAGATACTTCTCAGTCCTACCTTAGAATAAAGCAGTTGTTGATAAAGTTTGAAGATGTGAAACACCAAAGAGCAGACATTTTTTGGATAGTTTTTCTTGGTGTCAAACCTTTCTCTTTTTGTATAAACTCTCTAAGTTATTCAGCATCCAAACCAGAAGGTCTATTCTGTAATAAGTAGTAGTCAAAAGACTCTTGCTAAGATAGTGGAAGCTTGAAGAATTGCTTATATAATTGTAAAACTTACAGAAGAACCTTATATACTCTTGTTGTTCCTCCAATTTTTTTTTTCAGTAAAAAATTTTGTAAAAAAGTAGGCGATTTAGCTTACCCCTTCCAAAAGATCAATATATTGTTTACTTACCAAATTGGTCACATTGTTTATATTTTTATCTGTCACAACAAACATGTAGATATATATAGAACTGGACATATAGATTACGTGACTCGAATGTGGCAACTTGGACAAACAATGACTTGAGACTTTTGGTGTGAATTTTCAAACCTTTCCGACCTCTCTACAGTGCCAACATCGAAGAAGCTATTGTTTTTTTACCTTGTTGCAGGTTTTTTTTTATCTTAGATAGACTATGTATGTAGATTAGAGTAGAGACTAGTTTAGATAGTAGTATGTAATTTTTATAGAGCCTGACATAGGCTTATAATTGTGACTATTCAGTGCGGGTGAAAAATCCTGTATTTAGTTTAGTTTTTCCGTTTTTTCCTTTCCCCCTTCTTTTCTTGTTTGTATCTTTTTTTTAAAATGTTATCTTCTATACCTCTGTGTTGTTTTAAAAGTTTTTTTTTCTTTTATTTCCTTATGAGAAGATGCCATCAGATTGGCAGTATCCTATTGTAGAGTGGTGGTCAAACGAGCCCTCTGGTTAGGATATCATCTTTGATCATATCTCATCGATATGACAAGTCGCCTATAGGCACTTGGGTAGCCTTTGGTTATGTTGCAGTAGCTGTAAGATGTCAGGGCTAGAGTTTTATTAGCTAAAAATCTTCCATAAAATTGCCTTGAATAAACATAGGTCACTGATGCGATTTTGTCTAAATAAAAAAAAATAAAAATAAAAATATATATATATATATGTTGTTCTCCAGATAAAAATTGTCCTGATTTGAAATCTGGCTGTTCTAATTCAAAATCAGAGTAGCCAGTTTTAGAATTCTTAAGCAGGTTACCTGGATTAAGAATCTGTATAATGATAATCAATATCTGTTGATTTATTATAGTTTGCTATTCTATAAAATAGATCAAGCATATATTTACTTATTGTGGTTCAGATCAGGAAGTAAAATAAATAGTTTTTTTGTTAAATTTAATTTCTGATACATAAAATGATACAATCGTTTATTTAATAAATTATGCTTAGTAATTAAAAAAAAAAGTGAATTTAAAAAAAAAACTTTTAATAAATTGTGCTTAGTAATTAAAAAAAAAAGTAAATTAAAAAAAAAACTTTATCTGCTATTATAAGATTCTAAGAAATTAAAACTTTAGTAGCTTAGTTTTATTAAAAATCTCAACAAATAATCAATATTATAGATATAAACAGTGATTTACCTTTTATTTCATATACCGCATTTGATTAACTAATGTCTGAATTTTTGTCAAGTCATAAACCTAAGCAACAAAGAAAAGCAATAATTACCTAGAAAGACTATGATTTAATTATAAATAATCTAAAAATTCTGAAGATGTGTTTAACGAAACTGCAAAAGATCATTTTTAGACAAAAATTAATTTTTATTTACATGATCTTAGAACATCTCACAATCCTATTATTTAACTCATAGAAATAAAAAATGCAAAAGAAGAACAGACCGTGTTATTTGCTCATTTCAGAATCTTTACAATGTTTTTGGTAAGATACATATAGTTTATAGCAGCATTCTGGTTTAAAAAAAATCTATGAGACAGGAAGCAGACAATATACATATGTTTCTAAATCATTTGTGAAGTTGTATATTGCACAGTATATATAATGTTGCATACATAGAACTTTCCTGCACCCATAATTAGGAATACTATCATTTCAAAGAAATTTTTATAATAGGTTCAAATTGATCTAGTTTCATTTGAAAATATTCAGATAAAAAATACTGTTATATTACACATCTTTGAGATTACTTTTCACAGGTTTCCTTGACATATTCATTATACACTAAGGAGGCTTTAGAAGTTTCTGCATTCTTATTTTTAGTCTTTATTGTTTTTGGGCCTTTTTGTATTTTGCAAAGTGATAATGAGCATGAATTTACAGCTCAGATTATTTATGAACTTGTTAGTTTATAGAAAGGAGTTCAATAATTAATAGGCGTTCCTACTACTCCCAATCGCAAAAACAGTCAAAAATCCTAACAATACTTTAAAAAATGCACTTTCTATATAGATAAAGAATCAGCAAAGAGATTGGAGCATTGGTTTTCCCATAGTCACATATACTATGAACATTCGTCATTCCAGGCCAACTAAATATACTTTATACAAATTAGTTTTTAGTCAACATCCATTATAACATTTTAATATAGTTAAAGAATAGAAGCAATACAATATTAATATGAAGAAAGACTTATCAGAAAACTTTATTGAAAATGAGAATAATATTGAAGATTTTGATAGCAGTAATAATATGTATCATACTAATCATTTTAATAATAACGAGCAAATTTTGACTTAACAATTTAGTATAACTTTGTATTTCCAGAGATAATGAATATAGATAATAAAGGTATTTTGTGTAATAGTAATATTAATTTTATGAATACTGATAAGAAAATTTAGTTCTTCAGCAAGGTAGTTGCAGTTCTGTATATTTGAATACAGATAATATTATTAATAGAGATAAAGTATAAGTTAAAATTTTTTTTTTAAAAATTTTAAATTTTAACTAAACTTATTTTAATTTAGAAAATAAATTGACTAATTCTGAAAGTAAAGTAAAAAATATTGATAAAAATATAGACAAAGAGGTCAGTTACAAAATAATACAACAATCTATCTTTGATAGTTAACAAACATAATTTGATAGTCAACAAACACGATTTGATAGTAATAGTAGCATCACAGATAATCAAAAACAAATTCTAAGAGACAAAATTATTATAATTATATTATTTTTTTACAGTAATTATTATGAAGTTTATTTTATTAATTTTAATATTTTGATTTATTAATAGGAAAATGATGGACTTAATTCATATAATTTTACATCATACAAAAAATGTCATCTTCAAATTTTTCTTGATTTATCAAATAATTTAATTCACCAGCACAATATCTATCGATAAGTTGCAAATAAAAATCTTGAAGATTATCATTTCAAAATGAAGCATCAAATATGTACCAAATACAACATCCATAAGCATAGTTATAAAGTTGGTGCTCTTGTTAAAGTACAAATTATTAAGATTGACTGTGAATCTGGTGATTATTACGCACTACCATGTAAAGTATTTTCTGTACTTCCTAACAATATATATTATCTTGTATGCCAATTTGGTGTTCTTGAAAGTACATTTCTAGCTGGTAAAGTTTTACCTCTCAAACCAAAAAAAAATTTAGAGAATAATGATCCTTCAACCAATATAACTGTTAGTGTAATTGAAGCTGCAAAATTACAATCCAATACTATTGCTGACAATAAAACATGTAATTGCAGGAGTAACTGTCTTACAACCAGATGTTCTTGTAGAAATACAAATGTTTTATATAGAAGTGGGTGCTATTTAAAAAATTTAAAATGCAAGCACAAGGCTTGAAAACTGAAGGTCAAATAATAATTCAATTTTTTTGTTTTTTTAAATTTGTATTTGCAAAATCCATATTATATATTGTCATAAAATGCTATGTATAATTAGTCTATAACAATTATTATTATATATTGCTTTTTCTATTGCAAAGGCTCCAAGTTTCTCTATATATACTTTATTACTTTTTTTTTTTTAGCCTTTGCAATGTTGTATGAAGATGAATTTTTATTAGATATTTTAGTTAGTATATTCTTGGTTAACAAGAATACATGTAGCCACATGTGCAATTTTAGTTGTCTATTTAAATAGTCTGCTGAAGGTTCTATACTATATACTGTATCAGTAATACAACTAAGGCATTAATCATTTAAACCCTCTGATGTTCTCCGTAATATATCATCCACCACAATTACACCAGCATATAATCTCATGCTGCTTCTTATTGAAGACCACCCAGATTGATATCTGCTATACTACTTGTGTTCTAATTCTATAGATAACCTAGTAGGGTTCTTATACTACCAGGTTGCTTTAGGGAAGGTGTAATACATACTTCTTAATCTTTCTATATTCTACACATTTTCAGATTAGGCTATGAATATCTTCTGCAGCAGTCGAAGCCACTACTAGCAGTCAGTGCTAATCATTAAACTACACAATTTTAGTATTTAGTGCCTTTGCAAGATTCCTCCCCTACGCAGAGGACCATTTATTTGACAGTCAGACCCAATGTACAGGGCAGACTATGGAATCCTGCGCAGCTGTGAGAACCGAGCTTGAAACGGCGAGCGACTCT